TCTCAGGCAACTCTGCACCAAGGATTTGCACTGGGAAGGCCCAGAGGTCAGCGGTGGGGCTAGAAGGTCTGTGTCAGCAGAGCGGAGAGGCCGTACCAGCAGGCTGAGGGGTCTGCACTGGAGCCAGGAAGCAACACTTAAGACAAGGACCAGAGTACCTCTGAAAAGAACTGCAGGGCTGGGCAGATAGCTCAGTGGCATAAGCACCTGCCTGACAAGTGCAAGGTCCTGAGTTCAATCCCAGGTACCAAAAACAAACAAACAAACAAACTGCAGCCATTCTCAGAAACAGTGAGAACCTGAGTTCCTCCAACAATAACAACAGCTGAGTTCGCATCAGAAAACCCAGTGCCACCAGCTCCAACAGCGCTTTCCCAGTTCTCCTTTTATGCTGCTGGCAACAGTCCTCAGGTAGGCTTTCCACACCCAGCGCCACACTGATTCAGGTCAGCTGGGGTGTTCCAAGCTGCCCACTAGTTAAACCACCACACCAACAGGGAGAGAAAAGGGTTCTCCCAAGGCACAGTGCAAGCATGTGCAGTTGGGCTGCAAGGACCACCAGGGACTTCACTCTAGGCCCTCAAACATTCAACTCCAAAAAAAAAAAAAAAAAAAATACTTCAGTTCTTAACAGCCATGCCAGGTAATTCCACTCCAGAGAGCGGAAGGACGAACTTCAGAAATGCTGGGTTAAAGGCTTGGAACAAGCGGGCGTCTGTGTAGCAAAGGACCTGGGATTTAGGTGGCTGAGGAATGAACAGTCGTGAGCTGCCAGTTTATTACCCAGTCTTATTGCGGGCAGAGCAAGCCTTGTAATTATGAGCCAAGGAAGGAAATGATCATGCATTCTTTTATGTGTTTAGTCTGCCTTACTTCCAAGAACTTATATTGGTCCTCGGGGGCGGGGGGTGAGTGTACCGGGAGGGGTGTTTTCTAACAAGTATCTCCTGGACACTTAAAAGAATAAACAGGCATTTTGGTAAAACTTAGCCAAGCAGGTTTGGAAAGGACTGGATTTGGGCAGACCAACCCCCTCGATGAGGGTATCCGGAAGCCCCCTGCACACTAACCTATAAGCAAGTGAACAACTTCACGTCGAATCCATCTTTTTCCCCTTTCACCAAGTGCATTGGTGCAAAGTGGTCTTTAAGGTAGAATAAGAAATTGGTTTGAAATATTATGAAGCCACTGAAAAGTTTGTCTTTTCTAAGTTAAATAAAACCAGTAACTCCAGGCATTCATAGAGTCCCATCTCCCAAATATTGGTCTTTTTCTTTTATCCAGGTTGCATAAAGTATTAATTACATACAGTAAAATGCACCCTAGAGGTACACTGATTGGTTAACAGTATGATTCATATGTGGTAAACACATAGAAATTGGGGAAGCAACCAAAACTCCTTTACTGTGGTATACGATCACTGTGTGTTTGATTCAAAAACTGGCCGGGCAGTCAGGAAAGCCCTAGGTCAGTGAAAATGCTCCCAAGGGGAAACAAGGAGGCACTGGAGTCCACAAGCATGGCCTGAGCATGCCCTGGGGCACTCTCATTATAGCAAGATGCCACAGATTGGGACGCTGAGCTGCAGACACCAGAGTCTCCCGGCCCTGAAGATAGGCTTGCTGTGGGGGATGGGAGCCTGGACAGGCCACCAGGTTCTTGTGTACAATGAAGAAAGAATTGCATGTGGCATGCAACAATGAAAAAAAAGCAGCAAGGTCAGAGCAAGCAGACACCTGCCAAGGGAAACGGCGCAAGTGCAAGCAGGCCCCTCGCCTTGGGTCTTCCCATGCCAGGCAGACAGTGTGACTGTGCCTACTGCACCGGACCTTTCCCACGATGCACTCTGCTGTTACTGGGTGTAGGAGATGTAGCCTATAAGCACGGACTTCAGTGAGCTCCAAGGAAGGAAAGGCCACTGTGGGTCTTGCTGAGGAACCTGGCACACATGACTCTGGGCCCAGGGGTCTCCCTCTTTCCTATCTCTGCCTTGGGGGGTGGTGGGCCTTAGGACAAAGAGTAGAGAGTTGCCCCTGGGGCCTTGCAGGGCTTGGATGGAGGAGGGTGGACTGTAGTCCCAGGGTAACCTCTGTATCACCAGCAATTCGAGCTTAGGGTCCCCACAGGATTGGGTTCTCTTTCCAGGTTGCAGATGGCTACCTCGTCCCACTGCCCTCAGCCAGCTGAGAGAGAAGGACACAGACACAGCAGCACTCTTGTGTCTCATCAGAGAAGAGTGAAAATCTCGGCCTGAGAGCCCCAGGCTCTTGACTTCACCTAGACCTTACAGCCTGGCAAAGTCCTTATCTCCAAATACCATCCCACTGAAGACAGGTTCAACATGAATGTGAGAGTGAGGCTCAATTCAGCCCACAGTATACCCAAAACCTCAGGCCTACAAGTATATTTGGAGGTGTTGGATAGAAAGCAAAGCTCCCCCCTCTGCAGAAGCAGTCAGAGATGCTCCTCAATTATGATCAAGACTTAATGGAGGAACCAAGTGTGGCAGTACACATCTGTAGTCCCAGAACTCCAGCAGCTGAGGCAGGAGGATCACTTCCATTTCATTTCTTTTTTCTTTTTTCTTTTTTTTTTTTTTTCAGAACCAGGGATTGAACTCAGACCCTTGCGCTTGCCAGGGAAGCACTTATTCCACTGAGCCATCTCCCCGGTTCCAATCACTTCCATTTCAAAGCCAGCCTGAACCACATGCAAGACACTGCCTAAAAAAAAAATAGAAGATTTAACAGGGAGTCATGAGCATCCCTTCTCGGGACAATAGACAGCCAGGTGTCTTCCTACATCCTATGCAGGTCAAAGGATGCCCGCTGCAGCTCTGTGTTCTCCATAGCATTACCACTTGGGAACCAGAAACAGAAGCTCTACCCTTAGTCACCTGGCAACTCAAGGTTTTTCCTAACCAGTGCTCTATCCCCGGTTCAAAAAAATAAATAAATAAATAAAAATATCTAACCAGTGAGGTCTTGATGAGCCTGATTTGAAAAGAAGATCCAAGTTTGTGCATTTTGTCTGATAGTCAAAGCCGTAGAAAGGAGACAGAAAAGTCACAGAGGCTCCGAGGGGTGAGAGGAACGCCTGAAGCTTCTGTGGCCAGTTGCTTCTCTGAGGCTCACCTTGCTGTGAAAATGGGAACAGCCACCAGTTGCTGACAAGAACTGCTGTGGGAATCCTCTGACAAAAGAACTGATTTGCATATTCAACAGGAAAAATGTCCTGTAAAGAATACAAAATTCTAGCTCAACTCTCAAACTGGGTCAATTTCTTCCTACCAGACAAAAAGAACAAGTAATAAAAATAAGAAATCTAGAGCTTTGAAAATGAAACCTAGGGTTTTTCTCTAATAACCACTAATATTACAGGATCCAACTGTAAGGTAATTTGAATAAGCATTGCTCCAGAAATATGGTTATTTCATCACAATTGCTTCCAGGCGGCTTCGGAAAGCCTCTAAGTCGAGGCTAAGAGTGATAGGAAATAGTCTTTTTCCGATGGTGTGCTTGATGGCGTATTTATATCACAGGGGCCTGCATGCTATTGTGTGTCGTCTGGCATGGTAATCTAGGAGTCCAGACGGGCTGGTCCCAGGACAAGGAGTTGCTCCCGGTCAGGGGCACAAGAATCCAAGCATCCGCAGAGTTTCCAGCTGATTACACAGACAGCAAGACTTCCAAATGAGAGAGCAGGAAGCGCCCTCCTCTCTGGCCCATTAATTAAGTTCTGAAACTCTTACTTTCCCTAATGAGCACCCTCCCGCACTAAACAATTGCCAAGACTGGCTTTCCACAAAAGCAAGCCTGAGGCGCAGACAGAGTCTGTTCAGGACACGAGTGAGGAGGAGAGAGACAGAGAGCAGGGACAGGAAGCGAGAAGATTGCCAGCCAGGGGACTGGGGCTCTCTGACACAGCTTGTAGGGTGTACTTTTTTCAGCCCCTGCTCCTGCCTATGCTGTCTCCACACCTTCACTTGGCTGTTGCCTCACTTGCCTAGTGTAGTTCTGGTGATGGGAGAGATCCAAAGGTGCTGAGGGAGCCCTGGGGTACCCTGGAGAACCCAACCTCAATATGCTCACTTCCTGCTAGGTGGACAGACGGTGCTTCTGAGGACACTGTGTCCTCCTCTGTGTGTGTGACACACATGGTGACAGTCACCCTGCATAGAGTCCTGAAACACACACCAACCATCTCTAACTTCCCAGGGTCTTCCACAGCCAGCTCAAGATCCAAGTGCACCACAACACAATCTGGAGCCCCAAGCCTGGGACTTGCACCAGGACGGCAGCCGCGGTACGTGGCTGAAGGTCAGGAAAGCCCAGGGTCTCGGAGCCCCCTGCCCAGGCTGGAACAGCGTTCCTCTGGTCTTTTATTTTCACAAAATTAGCAAATAATGTTCTTGTATTTTTTTTTTCCCTTGAAGAAGGTGAAAGACATAGGAGTCATGAAAATTCAGATTTGCATCTAGGTCTCTGCCTATAGGAGCTAAGGATCTGGACTCCAAGTGAGAAGATCCACCCTTCGGTTTCTCTCTTCTCCCTTTTTGATTGCCTAATCTTTCCCTTCACCCTGTTCATTTTTTCTCACCATTTCTCACTTTCTCGTGGCCCTTTCCATTACTTGCTGGCCTTCCCTGGGGCTGCGACCAAGGCAGGGTGGCAGCCAAAAGGCAACCTGTGTGCCCAGCCCGAAGGACAGGCGAGTTGGATAAAGCAGCCATGCTGGTCCTGGCTGTGCTATGCCATGGCTCCAAGCACCTGACCCTCTCATTTTTGTGTCTTTTAAAAGTACTTTGAGAACATTAGTTACACATTAACTTTGACTGACTTTCTATGATTCAAAACTCTTATATGTCTCTATTTCTAAAAATATTCCCAAGCTGGGCCTCCTGAGGTATCATGTTTCTTCCTAAGTACAAGTATTGCTTTCATCCTAGAGCACCAGGCACCCTGGGGTGCCTCCCAGCCCCACCCTGGCTCTTCCTGGAGCATTTTCTCAGATGTGACAGCTTGTGACCAAGATGGAGGTCCACTTGACAGAAGCCAACCAGAGAGCCCAACTTTATGCCCATCCACACTCAGGAGAGAGAGTGTGGATCCCTGGGAGCCAGAGGCGGGAGGGGGACACTGGTGGCCAGCGAAGCTTCAGCCCTTGCCCTCCTGAACTCTTGGGGTGTCCCCGCCCAGAACTTCCGCTCTGGTCAGGGAAGCAGTGAAGGCGCATAAGTCAGAGTGCTCTACGCCACAGTGCAGGCAAGTGCATAGAGAGAAGGAGCCACCAAGCCCGGGCAGAGCAGTCTCCAAATCTTCAGAGTCCGCGATGTGTGTGGAAGAACGGCAATTCACAACAAGCAACACCTGCCCTTCCTTCCTGATTGAACACGGGGCGAGCTGGCCTGGGGGCTCACAGGAACCAATGAACAGGAGAAAGGAAGGCGACAAGAGGACAGCAGGCAGGCGAGGCAGAGGGAGAGGAAGGCGATTTGTATCTGAGTTGGGGAGGGGCTGCGAAAAGCATCGAGCACACAAATTCGTGTCATTGAAAGCTTTAGGGAACAAAGAGGTGGGTCTGGAAATGGCACCATGATTTTATTAGCTTCCCTTGCTGCTGGGACAAATTATCCCAAACTCAGTGGCTTAAAGCAATGCACATCCATTCTTTCAGAGCCCTGGAGGTCATAAATCTAAAGAGGTTAAACAGCAAGGCATTGCTGGGGTTGGCAACCTTTGGAGGCCCCTGGGGAGAGTCGCTTTCCCGGCTTCTCCTGAGACTGAGGCCACCTGCCTTGCTTGGCTCCTGGGCGTTTTCCTCTGGTTTCAATGCATCCTCCCCACTGCTGTGTCTGTCACCCTGCTTCCCTCTTATGAGGATTCTTGCCCTCGCACCAGACCTGCTGCTAATCCTGGATAATCTCCTCATGTTGAGAGCCTTCACCCCATCCATCTGCAAAACCCTTCTGTTATGCAAGGCAACACACAAGGTTCCAGGGATTTCAGAGCAGACAGTCCCTGGGAGGCCATCGCTCAGCCCCCCCACAGCGACAACTTCCAAGCTAAAAGACAAGTCTGCTGAAGTCCAAGAGACATGAGAATGGCTTAAAATAGGAGCTATCCAGAAAGGAAGGACTGAATGTTTCATTTTCTTTGCCCATCTTTGCCCATATGCAGAATGAGAAATTCGTTACAAATCAGCAGTTAACAAATCCACTCAAGTGAAAGAATTCATGTTCCGGGCACTCTAGCTTTTCTCTCTCACTCTCCAAGGCTTTGCTGCACTTTCTGTGTTGTGTAAGTGCTATGATTCCAGGACTGTGCTGACTGTGGAGTCAGGAAAACAGAACACGCTGACCTGCAGGAGCCTTTGATCACAGCATCAGGGTTGGGTGACACTGCCGTGAAACACGTTGGGGTACGAGCATCTGGAACCTACCTCTTATCTTGACCGTTCCTGTTTGGGATCACACAGTGCTCTGGTGCCTATTTTTGTTTCTCATGATGTGGTGCACACATAGTAGACACTTGTCTGCTGACTCCACACCTTCTTCCTTCTTGCATGCTGATAGGACTGGGTTTGCTTCCGCATCTCTCTCTCTCTCTCTCTCTCTCTCTCTCTCTCTCTCTCTCTCACACACACACACACACAGAGTGGAGAAGCTAGTCAGAATGTTTCATCCATCTCTGGGGTCACCATCTGGGGACCATTGGCCCAGGCTAAGTGAGCAGTGGCCCTCAGGGCTCTCGTGATGTGAAGGTGTGGGTCTGGAGCTTCTACCAATACTTACCCAGCATGAGGGTAAAAGCCTCTGTGAAGAAAAGCACATTGTTGAACCACTAGAAAAAAATATCAACCTGAAGTTACCCTTCCTCTGGACTTGCTCGTTAAATAAACCAACAATCTTATTATTCGCTAAGCTAGCTTGAATTGGGCTGTTTTTACAGGTTCATGTTTATCCCTTGCTAATGAAGAAATGACTAAGAAAAAATTACCCAGTGTTTTTCTGCCCTTCCTTTGGTCTTGGAGATTGAACCCAGGGCCTTCATTCTGACTTACTTCTTAGCCTACTTTATGTTTTTTATTCTAAGACAGGGCCTAAGGTACCAGACCTGGTCTTGAACTTATAGCCCTCCTGTTTCTGCCTCTCAGAGTGATGGGTCTACAAGAATGTTCCACCACACCCAGCTATCACACTATTCTTAATATAGAATGTGCTTTACACTAATATTTTTAGTGTTGCTCTCATCAAAATACCTGCCTTATTCCCAGACTTTGGCAGATTAGCGAAATAAGGTAACACAGTTACCTTATCAAATAGTAATATTGATATGTAATATTGAATTACACATATCAATAGTAGTGGCAAATCTCTACATGGAGGCTTGGGGGCCAGAATCCCACTGTCAGGTGGCTGAGCAGCAAGGCTCTGGTTTTGGGGGCAGCTCCTGCAAGTAAGTACCTTGTTTTTCCTTAGCCTATATAAGTTTGAGGGTTCACTTTGAGGCATTGCTGGAAATTATGAGTATATCAAGGCCACTCCTTGATGTCTTTCTTAGCATTAATATTGATCCAAAATCATGTAGTGTTAAAAAACAAAACAGAACAAACTGTCAAATAAAGAAGTGGTAGAGTCAACTGCAGAACTGAAAAGGAACCCAGTCCTCAGGTTACTGTACATTTATGCTGTTAGGCAGCTCAAGGAAATATCTAAAAGGTAAGAGAATATAGAGGGTGCAGCCCATTCAACACTGACCCCAACTCCTCCCATGTCACCGAGCCAGTTGAATTCTCTCCATTAACACCTCTTGCCTTAGTTATTTTTTTGTAACAGGACAAAATACTAGACACCCACAAGTTAAGGGAGGAGAGGCTTATTTTGTACAGCTTTCTGCCCACAGTTGCTGGCTCCAAGGCAGGGAGCATGGCAGAGGGTACCACAGAGAAGAAACAACCCATGGCAGGGTAGACAGGAGCTAGGAGAAGCAAATGTCCAGCCACCTTTTCCCTTTTAGCCAATTCAGGCTTCAAGCCTTTTAGGTGGAACCGCCCACACCCAAGATGGGGTTCCTCATCTCAGAACTATGCTGAGCCAGTTTGGTTGTCACAAACCCTAATCTAGAATCACATGGCCATGATCTAACCGCCTCCCAAAATCCCCACCTATGAGCACATGAGGCACATCTTGATACAAGCCATAACCTCTCTGAAGGGCAGAGAATTAAGCACATCTGACCCATCCAAACAGCAGACATAGACTAAGCCACCTGCACAGTGACCTAAGAAACCCCTACAAAATTGCCTGTCTCCAGAATTAAATCTAAAGGTTGTTTCCATAGTGTGAACGTTATCACTTTGCCTCACAGAATTAAATCTCTTCTCCAAATAAGAGTATCACTCTTATTTGGCCTACTCTCCTACCTAATTGGTCAATTTGTCTTATCTACTGACTTAAGAAAGTCCATTTTATGATTTATATCTAGATGACCTCCCATCCCTCACAAGCTCATAAGTGAGATATTTTTACTGTATTTGCAAGTGCTTTATGTTGAGGAAAAAGCATGTGCTCTGTTGTAGTTTAGACCTGAAGTGTCTCCCCAAATTCTGACGCATTTGGAAGGTGACTGTCATGAGAGTCCTGTGCTCCGCAGTGGATTCACCCTCTGATGAGCTGGGCAGCTAACCGTGCTGTTAGGAGCAGGCCTGTTGGAGAACAGGCTCCAGTCTCCCTTAGCCTTGGCTCCCAGTTCTTCACAGAGAAGAGCTGTTCCCCAGTGCTCTGAGGAGGCTGCAGGGACAGCCACAGCTCCAGTAGGTGGTGGCCTCACTCTTCATTTTCTGCCCCTGAAGTCCCTAAACAACACCAAAAGGATCACCACTGAGAAAAATATCAGCACACCCAGATCACAAGCTCTCCCCAGGGCCCTGGCGTCCAGGCTTGGGCCTTGCTTGGCAGGCTCTGGATCTAATGATGAAACCAGGAGGGCAAAGAAACAGATGAGCACTGGGGCCCCAGCACTGCCCTCTCAGCCCAAGCTGACACCACACAGGAGCTCAGAAGGGACAGCTCCTAGCTCTTGCACAGCACATGAGAAGCCCTGCAAGCATCCTGCTCCCCCTCATCTTGAAGGCATGAGGTAGCTGAGCACACAGGCCAGGGCAGCTCACAGTTCTCTAGGAAAGGGCTTGGCAGTCCTCTAAGTGTGACATGTCTGTATTAGCTCTTGTGCCAACTTTTTTTTTTTTTTTTTTCTGTATTTTAGGCAAGGGTCTACAGGGTGTTCAGGGCCTCACTACTAGATCAGACTCATAGTGATCCACCTGTTTACTGCCTCCCAAGAGCTGGGATTACAGGCGTGCACCGCCACGCCCAGTCTCAATCTCCATCTCAGCATGTCCTGGGGGCAGGCCAGGTGACTGAACCCCAGCCCCTGCTTGCAGGCACTTTAATCCACTAAGTTATTTGGCCAGCCCTTCAAACTGTTAATAAATGTTACAACCTAAGGGAATTTGGGGGCATTTTGGTCTTCAGTGTGTTATTTCTCTGGCAGAATAAACCGCATGATGCCAGGAGCAAGGAGGCACCTAGGTGATTGGATCAGGGAGAGTGATCTTGCTCTCAGGAGCTTGAGGAAAAGAAGGGGGTCACTGGTGTGTGCCCTAGGGGCACTGCTCTTCCTTCCTGGCGCTTCCCTTTGCTTCCTGCCTCCTGCAGCCATGACGTGAGCAGCTTCCTCCACACTCCTCCGCCATGCCAGCCTGCTACACAGCCAGCCTCGATGGAACCAGCCAGCTGCACCCGAAACCATGCACCATAACGACCCTCTCTTCCATTAAGTGCAGGTGTTGTGTTGGTACTGCATCCCACCAATGAGCAAGTGATTAAGAGAATTATTTTTTTTTTTAGAGATTTAAAACATTCACAGATATTTTATATGAGCTAAGCACTGTCACTACTGTCTTAAGCATTTTACTTATATGCTACTGTTTCATTCTTACCTACTCTCTAC